GCCATGGGAACAAAGAATGAGGGAAGGCAATTGTTACAACTCTTACTTCACAATAATTTATCAATTTGGAGATGGGGTGAGAGAAGGGAGGTCATACTGCTAGAAGACCAAAATTTCTAGACAAAGCCAGATAGTTACAGACATTAGTTGTAACTTGCAATAAAAACTGGACCTAAGGCCGGGCGCGGTGGCTCAAGCCTGTAATCCCAGCACTTTGGGAGGCCGAGGCAGGTGGATCACGAGGTCAACAGATCGAGGCCATCCTGGTCAACATGGTGAAACCCCATCTCTACTAAAAACACAAAAAATCAGCTGGGCATGGTGGCGCGTGCCTGTAATCCCAGCTACTCAGGAGGCTGAGGCAGGAGAATTGCTTGAACCCAGGAGGCGGAGGTTGTGGTGAGCCGAGATTGCGCCATTGCACTCCAGCCTGGGTAACAAGGGCGACACTCCGTCTCAAAAAAACAAAAAAAACAAAACAAAACTGGACCTAGCAGACAGGTGTGGTAGCCCATACCTATAGTCCAATCTACTCGAGAGACTGAGGAGGGAGGATTGTTTGAGCCCAAGAGTTCAAGGTTACAGTCAGCTATGATCATGCCACTGCATTTCAGCTGAGTTAAAACCCTGTCTTTAAAATATTTAAGAAAAATTTTTTAAAAATCAGACCTATTTACCACACATGAAAAAAAAAACAGTATTATTCGATATAATACTATTATGGGCTCCCCACTACAAAAAAGATGCATAGAATTGTTGATCCTTTTCTGATAGCTCTTTTCTCCCCCCCAAAAAAACAGTGTATCAGCTACAGAAGTAATTACTACATGCAATGTGAACGTTTCTTGTTTTCTTATTCTACTTAGTACATCTGCGTTATCAGCTGTGAAGACAGGGCAAACTATAGCTAATAAAAAACCAAGTAGAACAAACCTTCTTTACCTGTAATATTTGGGGTCATCTCTATCATCATCATAGTCTTCTAAGAATTCTTTTAGTCGTTTTGCTTCTTTGGCCTTTGAGGAAATGAAGAACAAGGTATAAAATTAACATACAAGTATAATAAAGATTACCCTTCCCTCTTTTGTGGAAACAGGTTTTTCCTAACCAGACATAAACCAAGAGTAAGAGGGAGATTAACATGAATTTCTCGTCACATAACTTAAAGAAAAACATAGCTGTTTCAATATAGGAAAGTTTCTCCAGGATCCCAAAATTCAATACTTAACAACGTATAATGTATTCGGCTATTTGGTTTAAATAAACTTGTTGAGCTAACCTGGGAAATGTTATTTTTAACATTAAATGAGCTAATATATAAAATTAAATGAGCTAATATATAAAACACTACTCTATGTCTTCCACAGAGAAAATATTTTCTAACTTAAGTTGGAACTATCTGCACAGTTGCCTCTCTACAATTGTACATAAAATGTTTTTACTGTAAAATGAGCTAATATATAAAACACTACTACTCTATGCCATAATAAAGATAATACTTTGGTTAAAAAGATTTTTCTTATCCCTTTAAATTTAGTTTTCATACACTTCATAGTTAAGTATAAATTACATTAGACATTTAAAATCTTTTACTTCTAAGAGAAGTCTGAATAAGGGCTTATCTGAAAAATGCACACCACATATATACACAATGCTACAATAAATATGCTCTCTGAATATAATCTTCAAAATACAATACCTAAACACACCAACAAAACTGAAGATTATCTTATTAAATGAAAAAAATATGGCTGAATGTGGCGGCTCACACCTGTAAACCCAGCACACTTTGGGAGGCCAAGGCGGGTAGATCATTTGAGAACTGGAGTTCAAGACCAGCCTGGCCAACATGGTGAAACCCTGTCTCTACTAAAAATACA